TAGTCCCACAGTACCATGTTCTCGAGCAGCCTCATCCAAGGCTCCCTGAGAACGCTGGTGCCCTTAGCAAAACGTGCTAGGGCTTTGTAGAAGAAGAAGAAGAAGAAGAAGAAGAAGAAGAAGAAGAAGTCGAGGTAATGCATGCGCACTTCATAGCAGCACCGCCAGGTGTCCTCCAGGACATCCGTTAAAACTGGAACGATATGGAGAATATTAGCATTATGGGCCCTGCGCAAGGAGGGACACACATGAAACGGAAAAAGGCCACAGCAGCAGGGAGCGATAGAACCGGGCAATCAGGGAGGCAGGAGAGAAAAGCCTCAACCTATCCTCTTTCTTAGGAGTGAAAAAAGACTAAAAAGAAGACGAGGAGGAGAAAGAGAAGAAGAAGAAGAAGAAGAAGAAGAAGAAGAGGGCCCCAGTCACCACGCTTATAAAGGATTTAAAACAAACACCTGCATGGAGAGCACCATAGCTCAGAACTGCACACACACATTCCCCGAGGCATTCCGCCTGGCTGCACCCCAGGACTTATCAGGGCCAAGCCGCCACACTCTCGCACCCACCTGAAGAAGAAGACGAAGAAGGCGACGGCCGGGGCAAACAAGGAAGGAAGGGGTGCGGATAGATAGAAGAAAAGAGCGCCAGCATTTCCTCTTTCCTTTATGATTCTTTCTTCTTCTGCGTTGGGTGGTTCCACCACTGGTTCTCTGCTTCGAGGGAAAGCTCCGTGCAGAGGCTGGTGCGCATCCACTGGCAGCCGAAACACGGCTGGGAATGTGTGCGCGTTTTTAGCTTGGATATCATGGTGGTTCGGTCTCTGCAGAAGCTGTAATCAATTTCTTGTTTAAACATGCACGCATAGGGATAGGCCTCACCATCGCTATCACTATGCTTCCTCTTCCTCCTCCTCCTCCTCCTGCTGCTACTCCTCCTCCAATCCCTACCCGCCTGCCATCTGGAACAACACCTTGCCCACACAGCCCGCCCTTCACTCTTCTTCTTCGTCTCCCACATTCGATTTTTTTTTTTTTTTTTTTCACATTCGTCTACGTCGTATTCCTTCTTCCGCTCTTTAATCACATACGGAAGTGCCTACCATGTGGCTGTTTATCTTCTTTTTTCTTTTTTCTTTTTTCTTTCTTCTTTCTTCTTTCTTCTTTTTTCTTTTTTCTTTCTCTTTCCTTTTTTTTTGGGGTGGCCAGCAGATATTCGTCTACGTCGTATTCCTTCTTCCCCTCTTTAAAGTGCCTACCATGTAGCCTTTTTTCGCCCTTTTTTCCGTTCTTTTTTTTTCTTTCTTTTTTCTTTTTTGCCAGCAGATGGACCATGGATCAGATATTATTAAACCGATTAGAACAGATTCTACACGATCTATTTTTTTTATGTTTAGCCAAAAAGGCCGAGAAAGGTATGCCATGTGGCATTTCCAAACCCTTTACCCCCACTTTCTTCTTTTGGGTACACTTGTGTCTTCTTTCTCTTGCCCCCTCCTTACTCCCCTCCTCATCCTTGTAGTTCTCCCCCCCATCTCCGATTCTTCGGTGCCTTCCACGTGGCACCATGTGACCTCTTCGCCATTCCTCTTTGTAGTGTCATTGCTACATTTGTACTCCTTTTTTCTTTTTTTTTTCAGTACCATTACTACATCTGGACCATTTCTCGATTTATGCGTGTCATCCTTGAGTGCGCAGGGGCCATGCTAATCTTCTCTGTATTTCGTTCAAATTTTAACGGATGTCCCCATCTGGTACTCCATACGATCTTTTTTTTTTTTTAAATCATTCTATGGCTAATTTTTAACGGATGTCCCCATCTGGACCATTTGCTCTCCATACGATCTGTTATTTGTTTTAATCATTCTAGTATGGCTATTGTTGTTTCTTGATTAGTTTCTCTTTGTTTTTTTTTACGGAAATTTGTCTTTGTTATTATTCGCCATAGTCATTCTCCATTGTTTTTATCCCTCCTCTGGCTCTGACACGCCTGCCACGTGGCACGAAAAGACCTCCTCATCCACTGCCGACACATGACGAGACTGTCTTTCCCACTTACTAGAATCTTCTGAGGGCAATAAATGCGGGCAAATACCTTTAAGAGAGTGCTACCGTAGTGTGAGTACGCCCTCACACTAGGACTTCCTGTGATGTATCTGACCGCAATTACAGCCACGTTACGTTCTCTCCAAAAAAACGTACAAATGTGAATACGCCTTACATCTTCTACTCCTGTCCAGACATGCCGGCCGCGCTTGGCACGAAGAAATCTTCTCAGGGGTGAGGTCCCACTAGCAAAGACGGTTGGATAAATATGCTGAATCTGGACGTGTTGTAAGCAGACATGCGGACAAGCAGTTCAATCTCGACCTTCTGCACCTTTCCACAAACAAGTCCAGATCCAGGTGTTCAATCCAATCCTCTTAGCTAGTGCAGGGCATACTCACACCTGTATTTTATGGACGAAATTTTCCCGTCAGATAACTCCCAGAAAGTCTTAAGGCCTCACTTCACTACTCTCCACATGCACAAAAAAGACAAAAAAAAAAAGACAAAAATTATAGGAATGTATCTTTCCATGTTCTACTGGAGGATTCAGTCTCATTTTCTGCATGTGGAGAGTTAGTGGAGCGAGGCCCTCAGGAGCTCACAGCTTTTGCGATACAGTCCCTATCTGTCTACCACGTTGCAGGGTGAAACGACTCCCACGCTCTTTATGTTACCTCCTCCTCCTCCTCCTCCTCCTCCTCCTCCTCCTCCTTCCTCCTACCCTGAACGCGGTGTGTCTTCCACGTTTGACAACCGACTCAAGAGTTGCTCCGATGCTCATGTGCAGATATATATATCGTCACATGAATATCAGAGCGCAAAGGGGAAAAAAACAGAAGAAAACAAGAAAAAATAAATTAAAATAATAATAATAATAATAATTCATTTTTTTATCTTCTTTCTTACAACTCCCCGTGTTCAGAACCTCTTGCGCACAAGGCATATATATATATATATATATATGTGATGGGGTGTGAACCGACAGTCTGTAGAGTTTTCCATCTGGTGTGGGTGAGTGATAGTCTACTTTGATTTTGGTTAAGGTAGATTATCATTTACAGTGTAATCAGTGAGGGGATTCTGCAGACTGTTGAGGGTTCAGCCTCCTGATGAATCGGTGAAACTCCGACGAAACAGTTTGTCACACAGCCCCTCGTTTGTTGTCTTCTTCTCTCTCTCTGCCTACGGTTTACCGGGCATTTCTGTTTGTTGTGACACAGCCCCTCGTTTGTTGTCCTCTTCTCTCTCTCTGGCTACGGTTTACCGGGCAGTACTGTTTGTGAAGATCTTGTTTGTATGGAAAGAGTATGGTTTACTAACGGCAAAAGATATTCTACTCGTCGAATCTTTACAGATCCTTGGATTACTCATAGACCTCAAAATTTGCAAAATATTATGTRGATTTACAAGGATCCTTTTTTTTATAAAACTTAAAATAGATATTAATTCATGTACATATATATCTATAGTATAGGTTTAATGTGGATAGGATTGCTTAACCAAGCTTCATAATTTGAAAAACGAGCTCCATGAAAATACATTCCACTAATCCAAATAAATATAACTGCTAATTGGCCAAAGTGAGCACTAAAAACCTTGCGAGAAATATCTTCCAAGTCATTACTATGGCTGTCAAAATCGTGCGCATCAGCATGACAAACAGAACTGCCCGGTAAACCGTAGGCAGAGAGAGAGCAGAAGACAACAAACGAGGGGCTGTGTCACAACAAACAGAACTGCCCG